AGACCGTCCACCAGTTTTGTGGCCCGTCGTTGCACCTGCTCTATGGCATCACTGTCTTTCTTCATCCAGGGCATCCATGATGGCATTCCGTATTCCAAGTGCGGTCTGACGAATGTGCCGAATATCTGTGAGAAGAGTTCTGAAGTTCTTCCCAATCGAAAACGCATTCCCGAATTTCAGCCAGTATCTCATGAGATCCGTTATTCACTGTACCAATCGCATGCCGGTTCCAACTTTAACATTTATTGAGACTGACTAAAATGCGGAAATGTGGCTGTCCGCGTGACATTCAGGAACATCATTCAGCGCAAGTCGAATCTTCCCCCGCGGGACTTCAGACCTATACGTCTTGTACGCAACACGTTGACCAATTAATCGTGCTTAGAGAATGACTCTGCCGTTAACCGAATTCTGTGTTAGCGCGCATTAGCTGTATTTTTTCATCTTATCGACATTGGCTGCGTTTTTATCTGTTTTTGCTAAATTTCCATGTGGCATCTAAATCGTGGAACGGATTGATGCATACCTCATCTGAGAGTATTTCCTCTAGGAATTCACGCCTTTACTAATTGGTCAGGCGCCAGCAGTGCGAGTGTTTTTCCATTAAAGTTGGCGTGTATACGGGTTGAGATGAATTCACCAGTTCTACAACGATAGACGGCATAACACTTGGCGCACTGGATCTTTCAGATAACATCTCTTCTTACGAGATAGCCGACTCTGTTCTTGAGGTATACAAGCTGTGAAAGTTAGGTAGTTACAGGACCTACTTTTATCTGATGGGTTTTACTAATGTTATTCGACCAGCTCAGATATGCTTTTCACGTATAGGAGGGTTAGCGAGGGGGATGTATATGGTGCCTGGACGACCGTAGTGTTTGCAATACCTTTCTGTTCGAACTCTTGATGCTTCATGCCCTGATGTGCAACCTTGCACGGGTGCGCATTGGGGATCTACTTTCGAGACATGCGTGATACACATCCGCATACTTTCGAATACCTGGATAAGAAGTCGGCCGAGGCGAAACCGCATATATCGATATTACTATTTTGGCCGAAGTTTACCAGTCACAGCGGAATAACCACGTAATGTTTTTTAAACCTGCCAACAGGCAACCAGCCGTACAGACACCATACTTGGCACAATGTCAGCGAGACACTTTCCTCGGCTTTTAGAAAGTAAAGACGTCGAGAGTACTATAAAGCGATTGCCATATATATGTCGGTGGCCACTATATGGTACCTCCAGCGTACCTAACGATCCAAATTGGACGAAAAATTGAGCGGGAGGATTTCTCGAATCTTGATGTTTCAATACCGGCAGTATTAGACGTCATCTCGACCTCGAGGGTCTACGAATTCGTCTATCTAACCATCACTCATATCCCCAATCGAAGACCCCTAAGCCAGCCGTCCGCAGCTCCTCCGATTCCTTAGCTCACCACATCCTCCGACAAAAGAGTCGTTACGACGTTCAATCTGGGTCTGTTTCTCTCATGTGACAGCGATCTGCTTATGTAGTCAGTATGGCCAGAAACGCTGTAATGTGTTGATCCTACTTCCTTATCGGTTCATTTTAGCTGACAAGATTTTGGTGTCAGAAAGTTGAAAATGCTCCAGCAGCAGTCGATTTCTTTCCGAAAAACTAACTTCATACAGTCTCTGCGGCACGACATACTTTGGGCGCCATGTGCTCATTCTTAGCCGCTGGTGAAAGAAATTTACGCAGAGAGTCGACAGTTTTTAATCAACTGCCATTCTTCTGTCGCTGTCACAATCCCGACGTCTAACCAAAAACATTCCACCTCACACTGACACTCGAAGTTTATTCGAGGATAAATGTACATGGCACATTCAGAATGCCGTTTTAATCTACAAAGTTTCGGCGCAGTAAACGTCGACTATAGAAACTAGGAGAATTATAGACTTGTATGCAAACTTATTCGAGGATGAGTTGCGCGGACAGATCAAATGAGCGCCAATCTCCAGGGGAAACTCCAGTCTTCTTCTTGGCATACTATGTTAAAAAGCATAGCTACGAGAGTTTATAACCCTTCGAAACGTAATTGTTACCTGAGGATACCGGTGTTCCATTGAGAGGAATAAGATCCAATCATGCGGATGTTGCGTGCACAAAACAACCTGGCTGGTCTTAAATCTACTAAACGGATATGGCGCCTTTCAGAAAGCGCGCAAACAGGCATGCACAGCTGAACTGACGGAATCCTGCGTCGAAAAGGTTTCAGATAAGGCCAACTGTCGAAGAAGCGTAAGGATTACTATTCCGGTAATTCGATCATAGTTTTACTGTCGTAACCGATTACAAAGATGACACTGCCGTCATATTGGACGAGTTCACTACTCTTCTTGTTCATTTAGTACAACAGAAGGTTGGTGCTGTCAACGTGAAGATTCTCCAGTACAACTTGATTTTTTGCACATTTCATCAAGGTTTCACGGAATGAACGCCACCTTTATTATTCAACATATTTCTTGGCGTTAGAAACGTATTCACAGCAGGGGTTGAGATAAATGCGTACAGAAGTAGGCGAATACATACAAACAGCAAAATTTTCTTCACCGCTGTCACGATTATGTTATCCTACGGAAGTCTCTTCGATTTAAGAACACTTTGCAGAATGAGACTGAAAGACTGCTCGCGGGGGTCTCGATTGTTATGATATTCGACGTCCAGGATCGTCTCTGTCTCTTCGAATCGACAGCTTTTAGCCTTAGATGCTAGCGCGTTTCATGTGTAACCTAAAAGTTTTTGGAGACTTACATTAACATATGAAGGCTGTCATCAGTGGCGTTAGAATGAAGGAACGAGCCGATTTACAAGAGAACTTCCAATTCCTTCTCCCTTCTATGAACGGTTGCATCATGTCTACGAGGGTCGTAAATCATCCTCAAGTAACCTGAACATTCGCTGAAATGAACTTCCTATTTAAAGAAATAAAATTCGGCCATACCTATGCTGCACCAGTTAAACTTCCTAGCTAGCCTTGAATGTCTCCTCCTGAAACCTGCCGTTCCTGGAGAGATGCGTGCGGGGATACGCAGCTGCGCCAGTGGTCTCCTTCGACAAAGAAATCATTACCATACATTACCAATAGACAAAGTAAAGCGGTTGCGATCGTTGAAGACAGTGTAGTTATTGCGTGTGCTGACAAAGACGGTTCAGGCGTCATTAGGAAAAGACTGCATACGTGAGCAGGGCAAACTATGTCTTCTCTGTCAGAGAAGCCTACATCGTGCTCATTGAACCTCCGAAGAAACGGGTCAAAACGGCAACAAAAACCAACATCCTTGCTTGTCTGAAAGTTATGGTTCCAGACCACTCTAGGAATGTGGCACTTGTCGTGTCGCGCAAACACATATATGGCGCAGAGTGCAAATGCACCAATAAGAATTAAAGTGTCCCCCATTGGATCAGTTTCATTTTCAGTTTATTAAGGAAAATATATGCGGGCGCCTTTGAACTCCCTATTGGTTACAAGTCGTCGGAGAAAAACATTGATAAGTGGGAAGGTGAAAGAGGGATTTTGTGCATAATCGCGGACAGGTGACAGTTAGTTGAAACAGGGTAATAATTAACGGTTACTTACGAATTACAAGTAGTATGGTGCCGGGATATGAGAGTGGATGTGAGACTGGCAGTCGGGAAGCTTGATACGCGTCAAGTCTACACTTAAAGGAATTCACACAGGAGGAGATTGCAACGTCGGTGGGCAGGACATTCCACGCTGCAACCACTCTGTTACTGAAAAAACTTTCGTACATTGATCCTTGCTTTTCCTGCGCGTAGTTTTAGGGGATAAGCGCGCAAAGTTGGCATGTTAGCTGGATTGAAGTAATCAGTGGGATCTAAACAACAGTCTAGGCCGTTGATAATGCTAAATGTTAGTATAAGATCATCACGTAATTGCCTGTAGGAAAGGGGACATAGGTTGAGAGTTGACAGTCTGATTTCATAGGCAGTGCGCACAGACCTTGTGTCATTTTGGTCGTCCGTCTCTGGACCTTCTCCAAGACGTTATAGTTCTTGGCAGTCCAAGGCCTCCACACCTGTATGGCGTATTCTAGATGAGGCCACAGGTAGGTGCCAAATATTTTGAAAAAGTTGTCAGGGTCAAATCGCATAAAGCCTCGCCTAGTGAGTTGTAATGTAGCCGTAGCCTATTCAGCCGACTTCGAGCAGTGTAGTGTTGGTTTAAGTGAAGATGTGATCCATAAACCCAAGTCCTTCTAACTGTCAACCTGTTGCAGCGGTGTGTCGTGTAGAATGTAAGTCTTGGGGCCGGGGGCTCTGAAGCTGCCGAGTTGAAGAACGGTGCACTTGCTTATATTGAAGGGCGTAAGCCAGCCCTTCGACCAGTCTTCAAGCCTCTTCAAGTTTGCTTGCAGGTGGTCTGCATCTGCCGCATTCTGAATAACTTTCCACAATTTTACGTCGTCGGCAAACACGATGGCATCACAGTCCAGGTCCTTGACGCAGTCATTTATGAAAATTAGAAGTAACGTGGGCCTTAAGACTGAGCCCTGTGGGACGCCACTCACCATGCTTATCACTCAGGACTGTTTACGCTCTATCTGCACTCTCTGCGACAGTCCAGCCAAAAAGCTCTAGGTCCATACAAGAAGGGGTCCACGAATTCCAGCGTTGCGCAGTTTGTACAAAAGACATTGGTGAGGAGCGTTGTCGAAAGCCTTTTTGAAGTCGATGTAGATGGCCTGCACCACATTGCCTTCATCGCGTGCTTTGGTCCAGCGTTCGAGCGTAAAGAGCAGATTAGTGAGGCAGGACCTACCACTTCGAAAGACATTTTGGGCATCGGAGAGGAGGTGGTGCCGCTCGAGGAACGGCATCGAGGCCTTCTCAATGATGTTCTCCATGATTTTGTAACAAATGGAAGTGAGACTCACCGGCTTGTAGTAATTTGCAAACGCACGACTCCCACCCACAAAAAGTGGAGTGATGGTAGCGGACTTCCAGTTAGAGGACAAGCATCCAGTAACAAATGACTTCTGGAAGATCAAGGCTAACGGCTTGGACATTTCGGGAGCTAGATCCTTTCAGTAGCTCCTTCAGTCTAGGTTCTTGACGCAGTCATTTGTGAAAACGAGGATTAACATGGGGCCTTAGACTGAGCCCTGTGGAACTCCACTCACCACTTAACCAAACTGTTACCCAAGCGATTTCACAGGCATCGAACACCCTCAGACATTCTTCTGAATGATGAAAGATTTAAAAGTGAGTCCACATGAAGCTACCCCGTCTTCCGAAGTTGTTGGCTTCTTTCGCTCATTGCGATATGACGTGAAATTAATTGCATAGCTTAGCGTTTACAAAAAAATGCTCTTGGTGTTCAATCACAGTTTAGAAATGCTCAAACCATGTCTATGGAACTACTGTGGGCTTTATGGAAAGGGATTGAGTGAGTTTCACGCGACTACTCCTTTTACAGGCTTATTTATCTCAGTTCTGAGGGTACAAGACAGACGGACGATTGATAAAGACCATGCAACTGCTGACTCCGTCCGACATGTTAGTACCTTAACGAGTTTTCTGTGTAAAATAGGTTCTATTAACAATACAGTGCGTTACCTATCTCATGAAATGTTGGCTGAAATTCTGAAATGCGTTTTCGATTAGGAAGGATTACTTGGTCGCGGTTGCAATACTGCTTATCTTAAGGCATACTTTTATTACATTTTAGACTCGGCGGGATGTCGGCTTTAAAATGCACTCCTTTTCAATCTCCTGTAAAAAGCGTGCTCGGTAAAAAATGGCTACTTAATTAGCATGCATTTCCCCCATTGATTTTCGATGGTCTTGGAAATTAAAACATATTTTATAGAAACCATAAACAAAATTATGCTTTCTTTTAGTCAATCAATAGAGAATCACGTCTTCTTTAGATTTTATACTTAAGGAAGGAGTATAATTTGGTTTTAAAAAAGTTTCCAATTATGAGACTTTTTAAGACCGCGAAATGTCCATTCACATAGCATCGTACCTGACCGTTTCCCACCGCTCCTCATGAAATGTACAACATGGTCCGCATCCATTGCAAAATTTTATGAACCTTGTATGATATCTCTTTAATGACATAGAAAAATATGGAATTTTGTTTACGCGGAACGCATGCAGCTGCTTAAGTAGTCATTTTTTACCGAGCACGCTTTCTACAGGAGATTGAAAAGAAGTGCATTTTAAAGCCGACATCCTTCCGAGTCCAAAATGTTATGAGAGTATGCCTTCCGATAATCAGTTTCACAACCACAACTAAGTAATCCTTCCTAATCGAAAACGCATTTCAGAATTTCAGCCAACATTTCATGAGATAGGTCACGCACTGTATAAGAAAATTCCGCTCCACTCGCCGAAATCAGCACTGCAGCGACTTGTAGTCATTGTTACACAAATTCTCCGTTTCGAATGTTGGGCAGCTGCGTCAGATACTGAGTAATATGGTTCTCTCAATAAAGTTTGCATTTAAAAAGATTCTAGGAGGTAGTTGGTTGTTTTAGATGTAACCACACAAAGGTAAGTCGATGGTAACTTCGCAAATGTCATTTTCTGAGAGTGGACTTAACATCGAGATCATTCGATGAAATGGAATTAACAGTCATGCAGTTCAGAAAGTATGCTACAATCGAACTTTCTTCTACTGCGCCTTACGCAGGAATTAGCTAACTTCTCTTGGTTATTTCGATATACAGAGCGGTTGGCGTCGACAATTCGGAGATGCCCGAATACGACTTCTGGATCCTTCTCGTCTACAAAATAATGAAACACATGATGTTACAGGCATAAAGTAGGATTATCGACAACAATGATCCGAGTCGGAGATAAAATTTGACGTATGAAAATGGCTATAAATGTGACGGTCTCATTATCATGACTTCTGGAGAAAGTTAAATATGTGCTATGGAGGGCCTGGACAGTGCGTCAGTCACCACCCGGCGATGTGTCTTATGCCCGAAGTAAACTGCAAGATGCAGTCCACTTGACGAATTTCTCCGGGGTTAAGCTTGTCAGAGGTGGACTTGAGAGCGAACGGAATTGGCTTGTGATCCGTAAACACAGTGAAGTCCCTGCTCTCAGGGAAGTTCCGGAAATGTTTTATGGCGAGAAAGAGAGGAAGGAGCTCCCGTCCAAATGTGCTATAGCGCGCCTCGGCAGGTGAAAACTTCCTGGAGAATAAAGCTAACAGTTGGGCGTGACCTGCAAGGTGCAATTAGAGAACCGTGCCTACCACAACATTGGAGGCGTCAACCATGAGGGAAATGGGTGCATCGAGAGAGAAATGCGTCAGGAGGGTGGCATCGGCCGGGGCAGCGAGGGCTTCTGCAGGCAGCCCGAACGATCCTTTTGAGCCCCAGAGGACGCTCGTGAGCGGCAGGTGGGTGTCGGCGCAGAGCGGAAGGAACCGGTGGTAGAAATTTACTATAGCCAGAAATGGCTGCAGAAGAGGAAGAGGAAGGAGGGCAATCACGGATGGCCGCAACCTTCGAGAGAAGGAAATAGATGCCGTGGGGGCCGACCGGATGACCGAGAAATTCCAGGGAGGGAACACTGTAGACGCACCTTGACGGGTTGACAAAAACGCCAAATTGTCGAAGTCGTCCAAAGACCGTTACAAATGGCTCCATGTGTTCTTCGGCGGTGGAGCTTGCTAACAGACGGCCGTCGATATAGGCGTAGTCAACTGGGAGGCCGAGAAGCACTCTGCTTACGAACCTCTGAAAGTTCTGTGAGGCATTATGGACTCCGAACGGCATGCGTACAAACTCCAAGAAGTCAAAGGGGTTGGTGACAGTCGTCTTCAAAAAGTCCTCTGGGGCGATGGGAATTTGGTGGAAAGCACGGACCAGGCCAACCTTCGAAATCACTGATTTGCCGAATAGGACACCGGCAAAATCCTGAAGATGCGGGAAAAGGCAGCGGTTCGGGACAGTAATGTTTTTCAGGGCCTTATAATCACCGCAGGGAGCCAGTCACCAGTGGCGGCCTTTGGGACCATGTGGAGGGGTGAGGCCCATGGGCTTTCAGACTGACGGGTGATGCTCGAACTCGGTCTTGGCGGCAGCAAGACGTGCAGATGCGAGACGGCGGAGCCGAGAAAACACGGGAGGGACAGTGGTCCGGATGCGATGAACAACGTCGTGTGGTGGAATAGAAGCGCTGAAGTTGGGACGAGTGAGGCCAGGGTATTTGGCGAAGTAAATTCTTGGGTTCAGGACAGCGAGTTGACGGGAAACGTCAGGAGAAGGGATACCCCGGACGCCTCATTGCGCCATTGTGGATTATGGAAATAATCATGATTTGCAAATTCTATATTAGAAACCGCGAATTTTGTGTGCGCAAATAAGAGGAAAACAAAATATTTGACTATCAGTTTTACTAAGCTGATATGCCACTTTAATTTGAATTACACCGAATATCAAAAGCAACTTCTGACGGCCTTCAGTCACCAGCAGGGCTAACATTAACGGATCACGTAAAGGCAGAGTCATTCTCTTCGCTCCTTAATCAATGATAAACGTGGATGAAAGCGGATGAAAATATGCATAAGGATGTTTATGGATATGATAGTCCTACTAATGCTACTTTATACATAGGGAGTCAAAACATCCGGGCGGTTTCACAATGCCCAACAGAGAAACTTCCATTTAACGAAAAAAAGTTAGAACGCAGAAGCCCAGTAGGTACTCAAGACTGTTTGGGAATTGAAAAAGATATTCTTTGAAATAAAAACAAGTTTTTGTTTTGCATAATCTTTGAAGAAAACGTTAATTTCTACCAAATGAGTAAAACAACCGAATATCTTCGTGCCTCATTTCTGTAAAATCCATTTGAATTTAAAAAACTTACCGGAAATCAATAGAAAAAACCGCAATACGTAAACAAGCAGTAAATATGAAGTCTCCGTCTGGATCTCGTATTGGTCCTGAAGGGTGCACAATGCAGGGATGAACACAGAGCAATTTCCTAAACACAAATACACATTAGATTTTGTAGTTTGCTCAGTTGCCTGAATAGACATGACTGTCGTAAGCGAATCTCATCGCAGGCCTCCATTCCCTCTTTTCCAGAATGCAGTAAATGATATCAGAATGAGTCTCTTGAAAAACTTCTGTTCTCATTAGTGCAATAACCATGTCTGGCTTTATCTTCCCGTGACTGCATGAGTGACATTCAGGCCGCAGTGCGTAGCAATCAAAGACAAGTAAACAGCATGACCTTCAGAATGACCTTCAACAGCATGACTTTCAGAAGCTTTAACTTTTACGTGTGATGCGAAGTCTGACTTTACGGGCATTAATCCACAGCTCACCGAAGAGATGCTGCTGAACAGTTTGTTGTTCTGAAGTTAAAGTAGTTGGTCGATGCTCTTCGAAAGGACCTGTGCCAGGCGTTTCATACCCACAGACTACAATTACTGTTTTGACCCTAACACAGCATGACTGGGTGAGTCGTATGCTGGTAGCACTCTGCGCGTACTATGGGTGGCGAAAATGTATTGGCTTTAGACGTCTTGCGCTCATTCATAGCCTACGATGAGGGTAGATGTCGGTTGAGTAAACATCATATGATCAGAAATCAGCGTGTGTCTGGCTTTTGCTGTGGAAAAGGAGCCGCTTTTAATTGGTTAATGCTGCCCCTCATATGCAGAAATCAGACTGCACGATTAAGAGTACGCATTCAGCCCCGGATAGTCAGCTATGAAGCGATGGCTTACTGGATTGATTAATTGCATTCTGCTTGGGACCACCTCGAACGGTCTGTGTATTTTGATTGGACAAGTCTAATGCTTTAAGACTCCCATTTTTTCAGCATGTAATTTTGACCGCGGATATTTCTGAATCCTACTGTAATTAATAACACTAGCAATATTTACAGACATGAACATTTTTTTCTGCATTTCTTTCCATTGTTCACCAATCTTAGAAGCTTTTGATTCTTGTGCAGTTAGCCCACAAACATGAAGAATTATATTGCATGAGTAAATGAAAAATTTGCATTCAGTTAGGTTGTGTGTATACAGTGAGTGTCCGATCTCATGAAATGTTGGCTGAAATTCTGGAGTGCGTTTTCGATTAGGAAGGATTAAGTGGTCGCAGTTGCAATACTAATTATCCTGCGGCATAATTTTATGGTGTTTCAGACTCGGCAGGATGTTGGCTTTCAGATGCATTCCTTTTCAATCTTCTGCAGAAACCGTACTCGGTACAGATGACTGCTTAAGTAGCACGCATTTTTCCCATTGATTTTCAATGGTCTTGCAAATTCAAATATATCTTATAAAAACCATAAATAACAATATGCTTTCTTTCAGTCACCTAATAGAGAATGACACATTCTTTATAATTTATACTCAATGAAGGAGTATAATTAGGTTTTAAAAAATTTTCTAGTTGCCGAATAATTTGGAGCCTGATCATTCGCTGCATTAGCGCTTAGTGATTTCAGTCTACAAGGTGTATGCGTTCCGCGTAAAGAAAATCACATATTTTTCCATGCCATTAAAAAGATCTCATACAGAGTCCATTAAATTTCGCAATGGATGCGGACTATGTTGTACATTTCATGAGGAGATGTGGTAAACGGCCAGGTAAGATGCTATGTGAATGGACATTGCGCGGTTAGAGGCGTGCACCTCTAACTAACAGGTCGCGAGTTCGAGCCTCGGGTGTTGCGCACTTCGCGGTTGGGTATGACTGGCTGACGACGGCTAATAAGCCAGAAATGTCCATTCCAGTCTCCTTTGTCTTTGTCGGTAATAACACACTGCCTATACCAGGCATTCTTTTCTGTGCGACACAAGGGATCCGTTCAGATATAGTATTACACTAGTTCGTTAATTGTGTGTAAGCAGCACTACGCATCAAGCTTAAGAAATCGCAAATGTGATAACCCCAAAAAGGATTGCCTTTCGATATTTTAGCCACCTTTCTTGGCGGTACGAGAGTGATTTTAGTGTAGTACAATCTCAAGGTATTTCAGCTGTTTTAGGGTGCCTCTTTGGACGTGTTTTCGGTCACGGGAATAATCTATGTTTAGTATTGAAGACTATTTAACCGGTTTTATTTTTTTCCAATTAGTCTTCAATGCAAGTAAAAATCAAACGTTATTTTACAAATGAAATTATTTACCGCAGCTTTGTTATTGCAAGTTACGTCTATTTGAGAATATTTGCATTCTTAGAATTTCCATAGACCGTGAAATTTCCATTAAAACGCCCTCCCATATGTCTGTTTATTAAGGCTGTCTGTGAAATACACAACAAGATCCACGCCCATTGAAAAATTTAGACAGAAAAATTTGGCCTCCTCTTAAAAATGGGGGGATATATGGTTCACCGTGCGCGCAAAGTACGCAGCATGTGCGGTAAATGTACATCTCCATGAAATGTTGACTACTTAAGTAGGATTGTCATGTTACATACCATTTTTCAAAATACCATGATATCCCGATAACTTCAGGATGCTTCATATCGACCCCTTGCTTACGACACATTGCGTAAAAACTGGCTATTTATGTAGAACTAATTTCACCATTTAAGTTATATGCCTTCAGAATGTTATAATCTATTTTATATAAACTATAGATAGAATGATTCCTTCTTCTAGTTACGTAGCAGTAAATAACGTGTTCTTTAAAGTTTGGATTTGAGGAAAGGGCACAGTTAGCCCAAAATAATTTCCAAACTATGGGATTTTTCCAGACCGTGAAATGTTTAGTCGTACTATGCAGGACCAACATATTTAGTAGTGTAACGTACAGTGTAAAATATGAGCCACATATATTCTCTTCATAATAACATATAGAAATGTTTGATGTTTCTTACACAGACGATAATCCTTTTGAAGTTTGTAAATCTTGGATGCAATTGTTGTGGTAGACGTGGTTCAAATTTATTCGAAAATCGATAACGTTTTTACAAGCGTGATATAATGTTCACTTCAATATAAAATTAATAATGGACTTAAATTTTTGACAAACAAGCAGAAGTTAGAATATTTTTGTGCAGGTTTTTATAAAATATATTTGGATTTATGAGGGTAACATAAATCAGTTAAAATAATTTATGGTTACCGAGTGGTCGGATTTTACTAAAAAATGGTTTATGTGAACCAACATCCTCGCCTGGCAAGAACAGCTCAACATTATGCTACCAAATAATTAGCATGACATTTCACCTTAAGTAATCTCTTGCAATCGGAAACACATTTTAGAATCTCACTCACGTTTTCCCGAGATAACATATTTGTATACATGAACGTAAATGTAACCGAAAATCGGATACAACATTTAAATGAATTGAAAAAGCTCATTTTCAACCCAAATGCACCCTATCTTTATTTATGCAGTGTGAAGAAAAAGTACTTCCTGCCCAATATACAGAAGGACGAATAAATGTGTACTTGCTTTGTATTAAAAATATTTGGATTTGTTTTAAAGTCCAAAATCGGTGGACATGTTTTAACTGGCCGCCAAAAGTAAGCCTTTTAAAAAGTCGGCATCCTAGCGCAAATAAAATATCATAGGAGTATGCCGAGCGATATATAATATTTCGAACCCACCTCAGCAATCCTTTCTAGTCGAGGGCACATTTCAGAAATTCGACTAAAGTTTCATTAAATAAATCGGCTGTTGCAATATCGAAGACAACACTATATATTCTGCTTTAATGACCACAATTTGCGGAATTCACTGCATTTTACGTTCTAACCAAAATGTCTTCTATTTCTGAATATGCTGTTAGCTGAAGATTCACCTAAGGTTTAGCACTTTGGATGAGTGGATTGTTGTGGTCAACATTTAGTCAACGTCTCACCGGAGGAGCTCAACTGTTGAGGAGGTTTTGCAACTGTATCTGAAAATGAATTAATGCATCTCAATTATGAACATGAAAAAAATAACAAACCTAATGTTTGTTACTTTATTTATTTGGATTTTTGAATGGAAAGTTATAAAGCTTAGACTTACACGTTTACATATGCATATAAGTCATCAAATGAGAATAGGATGCCTCGTTGGACCACTCAGGCATGCTTGCAAAATTGTTCCATCCTGGGTTGGTGGCCGTAAAAAGCGCTGAAATTGATTTTCTGCCGATAGGCGACATATGCAAAGAAAACTATGTTTAAATTATTTACCAAAGCCAAAATAATGTGCATATTATTATGATTCAGGTTAATATACTATGAAACGCGCTTCTTGCGCTATACTAACCATGTCTGCCGCTTTTCACTGAACTTAAAAAACGTCTGGTTGTTATTTATAACACTGAGACTAACAAATGGTGAAGGACACCAAGTAGATCTCGCATAAAACATCAGCTGCTATACTTATTTAAGTAGGTCGCTGTTTGCTTATTATTAATTGATACATGAAGGTTGCCCTCTGTTTCGCTGACCACGATATTCCGACTCCTCTTGGGTGCTGAGAAGCGATCAGATCGCTTCGCCTCTCACCCCTACCATTGCCATTAGGGCATGGCATATGGAAGTTGTTTGAAAAAACAAACGAAGGCAAAATCTTTAAATTCTCATTAAGTTGAAAATTGAAGAAGGAGTGAGTTATTTACTAGACTATATTTAAAGGACGATAGACTGGAGAATTTTGTGTCATGTTTGAAACAAAAAATTATTCTCTGCAGAATAGACTTGAACTGACTTAGATATTATGCTACGCATTAGGCCTGAGTGCTGTATATTTAGTTCGCGAAATTTTCTGTCTTCTAAAGTGAGATTATTATCCGAGCGCATTCGATACTGTCCATACTTATTAAGAACGTTTATCAGCGTCTCTCACGTCCCGTCTACGGGAACTGCGTGCAGGACATCCTTGACTGCCATCTGCGCCTATTCAGAGGTTTTAGTTAGATAGCAGCTTCGTCACGGGAACGGTTCTGTGTGCCAGTCGGCACCAATGATTGAATAGACGCTGATATTTCTCAGTAGTTGCGTCTCTTGCAGTGCGCGATAATTCCCCAGCAAAGTAACCATAGCCCGACTGAAGTGGCTAGGACATTGAGCTCTCCATGTGGATTCAGCGCAGATAACCATCGTGCCGTGAAGAAACCTGCAATTGGAGTTTAGAATTCCCAGGGATAAGTTCCTGCTTTTAGCTCTAACAACATGACTGTGGTGGCACTTCAGGCAGAAGTCCGCACCCAGCGTAGGCATGCATGCTTTGTCGCCTTTGCCTTATTCAAATTAAATTATTTGCTGGCCCTTGCACATAGTCTTGTCTTAAATCTGCGGATTTCTATGAGTAAAGAACTACACGAAGGGGCAAAAAATGTTCACATGCTAGGGCTTTTGTTTTCGAAAAGAAGACGAGGCGATTGGGACAAAACTGTGCTTTATGTGCAGAAGTCAGGCGTCATGACTCAGAGCAGACATTTTACTCCTGATTTTGTGATCTGCTTTGTGATGGTGAGGCCGTGCCTTATGTTTGGCGCCATTACATACTAGTTGTGCATACCGTTATTGATAAAATGAATCCAGCAATACTTAAATCAAGCGTTAATTGTAAGCAAGGAAGGTTAGAAAGTAGACATTACCCGCGCGCCGGACATTTTCTTTGAAAATAAGCTGAAATGATTGGAAAAATACTGTGTTTTAAGTGCAGACCTTAGGCAACACGACTCGGGGGAGGCATGGTGCATTCTGTTTGGCATCATTGTCACTTAGTTGTGCAATCTGATATGACAACTTGAATCCAGCACTTCTCGCGGTTTTTGACACGTTGATTTTCAAAGTCTAACAAACCGAGGACTCCGAAGTAAGCTACAGAAGGTGGGCTAAATCCTGAAATATCAACCGAAATTCAGAAATGCGTTTTTGCTCCAAAGAGATTAATTAAGTAGGATTGTAAAACAGGTCAGTCTGCAACATAATTCCAAAATATTGCAGTTACCTCAGGAAGCCATATTTCGAATGAACGCCCTTATGGCTGCATGCAAAAACTACATTCTGTAAAAAACGACTACGTAAGCAGCACACATTTTTCTCATTGATTTTTGATGCCCCAACAGTCCAATTATATTTCTTGGAAAACATGCACAAAAATATCATTATTTTACTCATTCGGCCGATACTTAAATCTTCTTCCAATCTCATACTCGTAAGAAGGTTATAATTCGGTTTTCAAGAACCCTTAAAATTCCGAATAATTGTGAACCCACTCTACCGTTATACTTGGATTCAGAATTTCCAAACTACAAGCCGTACATTTTCCGCGTACGAAAAACCACACGCTTCTATATGACAATAAAGGGGAACCATATAGGGTTCATAAAATTTGGCAGTGTATTTGATCCATATTGTTAACTTTACAAGCCACATTGGTAAATAAACAGACAGGACGATTTATGAACGGCCATTTCATGGCATTTAAAAGTCCCACAATATGAAAATTTTTAAAACCCAATTCTGACCCTCCCTCGTGTATAAAATTAGAAAACTTAATTATCTACCTAATAAGAAAAATAATGAATAGTTTCATGCATATTTTTATAAAAATATAAATGAATTTAAAGGGTGTCAAAAATCAAAGAGAAAAAGTTATGCTACTTAGGTAGGCCGCAAGGAGGTTCCCTCGAAAGCCGGCATCCTAATGTAAATGAAATATTATAGAATTATGTTGCAGGCTGACCAGTTTTACAGCCCTACCTAATTAATCGTTTCGGAACAAAAACGCATTTCTGAATTTCAGTTGACATATCATGAGTTTGCCCACCTACTGTACAAACTAAAATGTAACTGGAAAAAAACGAAACTCCGAGTTATGAAACTTCACCCTCTGCTCTCTGCAAAAGCACACCTGTTGAAGTTGTGAGGACCTTGAAAAGTCGAGTGTGACATACACGCCATTCACGCGTTAGGGGCATGAAAACATAACACCCTGCAAAACATTTGACCAATGGTGTTATTGGTGTGGGATGGTCGAGATCTTGAGACTTCCCAAATAAGATGTCAGGCGAGACAAAATTATTGGATGGGCTTTACTGAGTGCAAAGAGCGTGCAGAATGCCGAGTAGGCAAGGGCAGTCAGTGCTCTCGACAGGCAATTTACAGTCATTGGGATTATTGACCCTTCTCAGGTGTGATGCGCGTTCGCACGCCTGAAGGTTATTCGACTGCAGCCAATCAACAAAGGACGTAATGTAGATTGACCTCGAGCTCTCGTCACGCTAGCGCCAAGTCATTGTCGGCTCATGCGATCGATTAACAGGAGACGGGGGAAGGACAGGAAACCTGCGTGCATCCCGCCGGCGACTATGGGAACGAATTACCTCATGACTATCTATTATGCTAACAAAGTTAACGACTCCTGGTTTGCGATATTTAAACGCTAAATGGTTAGATTTTGGGGATCCGTCATTTACTAACTTTCACCCCTGTAGACTCTTTTCCGATTAAACAATTTGTCTTTTTAGCACGAATTGATTAATACGAATTGTGCGTATTTCCTTGCCCCTATTTGGTTCTAATCCGTTTTCAATTAAATACTCTAGGAAACCAGTTTATTTGAATGACACTATACGAGTCAGAGACATGATAACATCAAAAGAATATGCCACCTGCGAATCGCTTTTTTACTACTATTGACAAGGTAACATATTCACGTCTTAACGCCTACTACTTCCCTCCAGCTTGGAGATTAAGGATAGGCAAAATATAGCGCTATAAAAAGTCACTCCTTGACCAGTATAGCATGAGTACACTTACAAACACTGACTTGGTTAACAATGAACGCAGCTTTAATTTGCACTCCTCACGCCAGAAGACTTACCGTCGTTTGACATCGCGCAATTATTTTTTTTACGACACTTTAAAGCTGCGGAAATTGAGTTTGGCTTTCCGGCTGATTGTGGAGTTCCGGCAGTCCAACGGGAATACAAAGAGGAGGCGACGAGAAGGAAAGTCAGCGCAACGCCCCACAGCTGGCCCTGGCATGTTAGCAGCTTTCTGATTTTACTTACCAGGCGTAATAATAAAAATAACTAATAATTAATCGATCATAATAGTAGAGGTTTGTGGGTTGACTATAAGTACCCTCATTTGATATTTTCCATTTTTTTGCAAAGATCACTCTTGCTTGGCAATTTCAAAACCATTCAGATCAGATCAGATTTATTAAGGGAAAGGTAGGCGAGTGCCTTTGAACACCCTGTTTGTTACAATAACGTCATAAAAAACAATGTGTAAGGCATGAGTCAAAAAAATTAGCTAGGTAATTACATACAACAAGCATTGGTCACTGGTATACATTTGTCTGTGAATGCCTTCTATGTCAAAATTGTACAATAACCAGTACGGTACTGAATGGACCAAGTAATATCGAATCAAGCGCATATGCTGCGGTCAGGAGATAGCGAAAAGTGTAAAACGTTATGTTACTAAAATGTAGGGAGTAGCATGCTTTGTAACATAAAACGTTGGGTGAGACGGGTGGTACAGGGGCACTCAATGCAACCAGTCACTCAATACATACTACATCTTTTTTCAAACTATGTGTATCGCAATTAACTGGGGTTTTAATTAAAAATGCAATTAGGTGTTATTAATCGGTAAAACGTGAACATAGGGGACATTACGATCCACATTCCTTTAACGCATCTGCCCTTTCAAATTAAGGCAGTTTGAATAAATTAGTCACAATTCCAAATTATTTTCTTATAAAAGACTTAAATTGCGGAAATTTCGATCAGAACAAACATTTGGCGCAAAATGAGGTTTTTTGCTAGCAAAACACGGAAATCTGTGTCCCTTGTCCTAAATTACCGCCAACTTTTAGCCTAGCCTTAATTATAAATGTCACCACAATCCTAGTCTCATTAGAATTAAAGTAAGTGAGCTAACTCATGAATTGTCCATCGGAATCCCGAAGTGCGTTTTAGTTTCAAAAAGATTAGTTAGGTAGGGTTGTAGACCTAATCACCTTACAGCACAATTCTATAATTACCTACTTAAATCAGGATGCCGGCTTTCGAAGGAACTTCTTCCCGATCGCATGCAAAAACTACACTATGTGAAAAATGACTACTTATGTACCGTGCGTTTTTCTCATTGATTTTCTATGTCGCTGAAAATTCAATTATATTTCATGGAAAACGTGCATAAAAATATTAATTGTTTTGCTCATTCGGTTGAAAATTACGTCTTCTAATTTTATACTTGAAGGAAGCGCATAATCCGGTTTTAAAATAGTTTCCAATTTTGAGATTTTTTAATGCCGTAAAATAGCTGTTCACAAAACATCATGTCTCTGCAGTCAGCAATGTGTATTGTTTAGTGAACGATATGGATCAAATCCCCTCCTAGATTTGATGAACCCCATATGGTCACCTCTTAATATCGTAGACAAATATATGTTTTCCCGTACGCGGAAAATATTCGGCTTGTAGATTTGGAACTCTGGACGCAAGTTTAACGACAGGCCGGGTTCAAGCTTATTCCGCAATTGGAAAAATTTTAAAACCAATGTATACACTTCCTTTGCGTGTAAAATTGGGTAAAGAAGTAAGTTTCTACCGAATAAGCAAAGGAATGAATATTTTATGTGTGCCTTGCATGAAATATAGTTAAATATTTAAGGGTATCGAAAGTCAATGGAAAAATGCATGCTACATAAGTGGTTATTGTTTACAGAGCTTGGTTTTTGCATGCAGACGGAAAGAAATTCATCCAAAAGCCAGCATCCTGATTTAAGTAAATAATTATAGAATTGTGCTGCACGGTGATTCGTTTTACAACTCTACTTAATTACTCTGTCCGAAACTGAAACGCATTTGGGAATTTCGGTGGACATTTCATGAGTTAGTCCATCTACTGTAGGCGTAAAACTGCCAATATCATCCTGCGCCTCTATTCTCCTGCCATTGACTAGTTTACTATTTCAGCAACCTTAAGACTCCATTTTTATTGTCTTGAAAGACGCCGTTAATGGCATTGGACCTTAGAGATTATTACCATTACACATAGAGCATTATTATTCAAATAAGTAGATATGACATGTGAATACAGCTAATTGAGGATTTCTACAGTAATGTTTCACCCATTATTTAATTGTCACATACTAATGCATAGTCTCCCAAATTTGTATCTATATAGGAATTAATTTGCAGATGGCGCAATGTCTGCATTTAGAAGTTTCAAATAATATCGACTCAAGCGTCCAGGTCTGATAACGATGTGAGTAGTTTCCTTGAGTACGCATTTCAATGAGTGCCGCGAGACCAACCGCCAAATAAACCGCCACTTTTGCATTTTCTTGAAATTAGGCAACATGCAAAAAGAATGGGGGGAAGAGCAAACGTGGTCTCAATAAAGAATATGACGTATGAATATACATCAAGTAGTGCGAGTTTGTCTAACTTATCTGCTAAAGACAGCATAACGGTGTATTCTGTCTCACGGTTGAGGCAAATACGAGGGTATACGACAAAAAATGAGAATCAATTTCCGAATGCCAGCGGAGTGGCAGTGCTACCTCTTACTGCTAATCAAGTTAGCTGAACATTCTTTCGCCTCGGCTGATCAAGTAGTCTTTATAAAAGGAACATCACGACGAACCGACAGATTGTTTGATTAAACCCTCCTTCCAAAGCTCTCTGGGCGTTTTTGCAGAGCAAGCAAAATACATGGTGGCTTACACTTTGAACATTCACGTCTATTTTGTTCCCCATAGTGGGGCAATATTATTATCTGTAGGTGCTTAAACGTTTGCGTAACTCAATGAGAAAAAACGGCGATCGGGAAGTGGTTGCGTCAGCATGACAATGCGCCTGCCCATACAGCATTCATGATTGACCAGTTTTGTGGCAAAAACAGCACGGCGACTGGCTGTCACCAATTTACTCGCACGAAGAAGACTCCTGCGACCTTATAATATGTGAAGAAGAAAAGTCGAGCACCGAAACACTGTGTTTATTGTCCCGAGCTTTCAGACTCTTACAGGGATCCATCGTCAGAGGTAATAGCAGCAACAAACCAAGCGACAGTTATAAGGCACGTAGGCCAATCATCCACCGACGGCCCAAGACTGGAGGTGACTACGCAGGGCTCTTTCCGCTGGCAGCAGATCGATCAATCGATTGACCGAGTTCTCATCCGAGACCCAGACTTTGATCAATTCTCGGCCTGTTTGATTCCGGCGTGGGTGACTATTTTGGTGGCTGCGAAATTAAACTCGTGTTCCGGTGCTCGACTCTTCTTTTTCACTAATGCATACACCTGGAACTCGAAATTTCGACTTTTGCTTCCCAAAAAGGAAGCAAAACCGAAAGCGTAGGAAAGGTTAACAGCAAATCACTGGAGGCCATGATAAAAAATTTACATTTCCTTGGTTATGAAAAAACGGCCAACAAGTGGGACATGGGTCCACCGAAGTGCAAAACGCAGAAGCATTCGCCTATGATGATCGGAAACGAATCTTCTATCAGCCTGTATGCGGTTGGTCTGCTATTTCAGAATGGAATTTATCGTAAACGACAGTCAGCGACTTACCTAGTGAAATGTCATTTGCAATTATTTGAAGAAGAAGAAGGGCTCACCGCAACAGGTTTATTTGATGCTGACGTTTGGAAGAGCTTGATCGGCTCTCCATTGTCAAAGCGTAAAATGCACTTAATCGACAAGAAATCCCAGGTGGCGTGTCACGTTGCTCGGCTGATCGATTTTTCTCTCCTCTCGCTGCCTCGGCCTCTCGGAGGATGTTTGACGGGCGTTTTGTCTGCGTGCGTTGTGAGTCCCTACTCCGTGTACGGGGAGTTGAGTGGACGAGTGTCGGGTGATCGAAACGTCAGCATCTAAATAAACCTCTTCCGGTGCGTCCATCTTTGTCTTCAAATAATCAACTCGGATCTCCCAACTTTGCCAATTTGCAATTATGTAATGAGCTTTTGATAAGGACGAAGTACTTTAAATTGGGCTATAATATCGACAACAATTCTGTCGCAAAATCTGATGTTATGTAACGCTAAAAGGTTGACGCTTTCTGTTCGTTTTTTTCAAGGTTGGATTATGGTCAGAGCGTGTCGGGTTCTACCCCTATTGTGGAGGGACACTGATAAGTCGCTCTCTCGTCCTGACGGCGGCGCATTGCATCGTCACACTTCCTGATCTCAATGAGGCCTCATTTGGAAATGTCATTGAGATGACGGCTGTGCTGAGTAATCGACTCTATGTACTTGTCGGCGCCCACGATTTCACGAGAGCGGACACTTCTCGCCAGCTACATATCGTGAAGTATGCGGTGCTTTATCCAAAGCAAAATTACAGCACGGTCGGAGTGGGCTACGATATCGCGTTACTGAAACTTTATGAGAATATATATCCAGGTTTGTGATCCTGCTGTTCAATGGAAATACTTTTAACGTTTGCTTTAACCAGTAAAGTTCTAGGATCTCCAAGATATGCCTACAACTTCAGTTTAAATCATTTTCAATGCATTATTCCTATAAAAGCATTCATGTTTCCTGCAGACTGAAATATTTGCTCTGTGTGCCTTAACGCATTTATTTCTCATTTTGCCTTCGTGAGTGCAGCTCTCTAGGCATCAGTATGATCACTTTCTTGTTTCCCTGCTAATTTTTTCAAGATGCTTACATCCGGCCGATTTGCTTTCCGGACGGAAGTGTTGAGCTACCTTTGGGCGCAACCTGTTATTACGCCGGCTGGGGAGGAACATACACGGACGGTTTAGACGGAGAAGTATTTCCGAATACGCTCCAGGAAGCTGAAGTCCAGTTGGATTCTGATGAACGCTGCATAAATGCCTATGGTCCTCAGTTCGCCAACAGCAATTCATGCATACGGACAGAAGGCACGGTAAGTAACGCGACTGTACAAACGCTGAAAAAGATTTAGGGTATATATCTGTAAAACTATACTGCTTCCAAATCGCGCCCGTATTCCGTCCGAAAAGAGAGGGCGTTTTGTAAGTATTCAGATCACGCAGTGCCTCCTGTTTGTTTCCTGTGTGAGACTTTAAAACTAGACGACAAATTCACAATACGCAAGAGCGTCATAGAAACTTTAAAGACCCACGTGAAATTTCTCATACTATCTTGTAGCGAAAAGATGTAAATATCGTCCTTTTTCCTACCGACAAAGATTTTACTGTTATCATGGACTGGACGGACTGCGCAGAGAATATCGCTTAGATATTAACAGACAACCCAAATTACACTCCACTTACTACCGACGCCATAAAGTTAAAGAACCCACATATTAAAAAAGTATTGAAACGCATCGTGGAAAGAAATGTAATTTCCTGAATTTTTGTTAGATCCTTGAAACAGGCGGAACCAATGATCGCCAAAGTATACGGACACCATAAGGTTCACAAGACTGGCATTTTGCCGCTATCGATAGTCTCTGTAATTGGTGTGCCAAACTTCGGGACTTTCAAATGGTTGTTTAATAAACTTTGTCGAATTACATGCAACTCAAAAACTATATTCTAGGCCCATTGTAGTTCCTTGACAAAAAAGCTTTAAAATTATAACTGACAATTTTATTGCTTTCTTCACGTCTACTCGTTTAGACCTAGCGAAAACCTGCACCTCCAGCGATATGCCTCTAACCCCTGATTAACCTCTTCAATCTCAGTCCAAAAACAAACGTTTCTTCTATCAGGCAATACTATTAAAAATTAAAAGGCACCCCTGCGGCTTTACCAATATCTAGAATTTTGCCAGAAACTGTAATGCAGAAATAGGAAGTTACGACTCCTACCACAGTTTCCCGAGATCGTGCTGCGGCGTAAACAGTGCAAGGTGAAAGATAATTTTAGAACTACGACTAACCAGAGAAAAATCGAACGTTCTATAAAATATCGGGTCTGACCCTAAAAATTCATGTCACTTAACTCCATGTCCTGCATTGAATAATTTCTGAAATTATTCGCTTGATTATTCTCTGGAATTCATATACCAGAAGTCGCCTAAAGAACGTTAGGTGACCCACTGAGGAGCGAACTCCTCGCACGGGCAGAATATCGGCGAAACAGGAGTCTGGGCTTTTAGTCAGTATCTGTGTCTGGAGTACGCTGAAATAGCTTTATCTATTTATATTTATATAGCTCGATACCAGACAATCTCATTTGTCTTGAATATTTTGGGCAAATGTCTCATTGCCTATACTTTGGTTTTTTGCTACTCTGGTCGGTGATAATACTTTTTTGCAAAATGGTATTCCTCAGTTATTTTACATTGAGTACTATGACACATCACCTAAATGCAGGTTTCCTGTAGGCTTATTTTGCCATTTTAGATCCCAGGCGAGGGAGACAGCGGCGGAGGAATATTCTGCCGCTTAAAGAACGACAACAGGTGGTTCTGGTATGGACTGATAGAAGGCGCTGCGAGGGATCCCAGGGAAGACTGTGCCGTCATCAGCAAATTTAAGGCAGTACACACTTGGATTCAAGCAACAGCATTATATCTTGGTCTGTAATGCGGCAGTTTTGAGCCTTCGAGTTGAATTGGTGGAAAAAGTGTTTTCTGGGAACTATGAGTGAATGTTGCGAGATGCCAGAATGCCGGTCATTTCTTGCACAAATCATGCCTGTCGAATAAAGTGAAATATTTGTATGACTTCATCTAAGCCATTCATCTAGGATAAATTCGTATCAATTTTTCCCTACGGTGAATGAGCTGTCTCAAGAAATGTCAGCCAAAATTCTGAAATGCGTTTTCGTTTTAAAATTATTACTTTAGCAGATTGTTAAACTGAATATTGTGCAGCATAATTTTATAATAATTCAGTTCCCTTGAAATGCCGGCTTTCGAACGAACTTATTTTCGGCCGCATACAAAGACGACACTCTTTAAAAAAATGACTACTTAAGTAGCGTGCATTTATCTCATTGATTTTCGGTGCCGTTAAATACTCATTTATATTTTTGGGAAACCAGGCATGAAAATATTCACTATTTTACACATTCGGTAGATAATTACGTCTTCTTTCAATTTTATGCTCAAGGAAATGAGTATAATTCGGTTTTTAAAAAGTTCCTAATTATGAGATTTTTTAACGCCGTGAAATGTTCGCTCATAAAACATCGATTCTCTGCATTACTAACGTGGCTTGTGAAATTTACGATACGGCTCAAATCCACTACTACATTTTATGAACTCCATAGTGATTCCCTTTAATACCGAAGAAAAGTGCATGTGGTTTGGAAACTCTGAACACATGCGTTAGCGCAAGTCGGGTGGAAATTGTTAGAGAATTGAAAAAGTTTTTAAAACCAAGTTATAGCTTCCTTTGTCGCATCCGTCAAACAAATGAGTAAAAGGATGAATGCTGTTATGCATGTTTTTATAAAATAAAATTAAACATTTAAGAGCATCAAAATTAAGTGAGAAAAATTCATGCTACATAGGCGGCCATTTTTTACAGAATGTGGTTTTTGCATGTGGCCAGAAAAGTCTGTTCAAAAGCCTGCATCCTGAGGCAATTGAATTATTATATACTCATGCTGCACAATGATAAATTTTGCAACCCTACTTAAGTCATATTTGCAAAACGAAAACGCATTTCCAAATTTCGGTTGACATTTCTTGAGTTAGAAGTGGACGCATAAAATGGAGAAAATAATGGAAAATAATAACAAATACAAAAGATCAATACTTTTCGACTGTCCATTTGAAGTGAAACGTTCAGTGTCATGATCTATCACAAAATCAAACGTATCTTGCATTGAAAGGTACTTATTCGTCTTGCGCCAATGTCTTTTGATAAGTGAAAACGATTTTCGATGCGACTGAGATCCAGGTTATTGGCAGGGGTAAACCTCGATTGGAGGCCATATACGGAGAGGCCGGCTGCTGTCTAAAAGTTCAGGTTACGGCTGAAAGCGTTATCAGATTCATGTTTCTTTAGAGCAGTGGACGGGAGCATTGTTGTGTAAAGTTATGATATCCTGTAGACGTCGGTGAATGTCTTCGTACTCAAAAACATCCTTTACAATGTTGACGAACTACTTGATATTGATGGCATCTGTAGTCGACCGCCAGACTGACCGCTTCCAGAATTTAATAGTCATTCAACCTATTAACTGTCGACAGTTTGTGAACGTTGCCGCTGGCGCATCGTGCTCTTTAAGGAAGTTCTTTCACAAACGTGACCGTCGAGGTCGATTTCATAGACATGTTTAAAAATCGGACCTCATCGCAGAAGTAAACGCTCTTTCAGAACGTGGACACGTAATTAATATATTTCTTAGCAAATACAAGCGTTCTCTAATACGTTTTTGTACTTCAAACGGCTCCGTCGTGGTCTCTTTTGATGAATTTCAAATTCCTGCATCCATTTCCTTATTATGCATATAGTGAATATCGGCAGATGTTCGCTGAGAATGGTCTTAATGGGCCCTTTTCAGTGCACGACGAATAAAATCGTCGTCTTTCTTACTTGTGGACCGTTTTAGTCCTCTCTGCCTATTTCTAGATACGGTTCTGCCATTATTTGCCGCAGAGAAACCTTGTTTATATTGAAAATTCTTACTCACGGACTCACGCGACAACCCATCCGCTGATAATTTCCGCATTCTTTTGTAGTCGACTTCTGAAAGACATTGTCTGAACATCTTTATCGCACGACGTTGCGCAGAAAAGTTGCAGCATGTCGCGCGTACTCAATAGATGTCTGTTCACGCTTAGCGGTTCTCGGTGTGGTAAAGCAGGCTACTGACGAAAAAGTGTATTACTGATTTTTTGGTACTAAACGCCATAAAGATACAAACTTTATCCACCCCTTTTTTTATTGAACGCAATGAAATTTCTCAAACCCGCCCTTAACTGGTGCTCATGGAAGCATGATCGAATCTTCCGCTACCAGACGGGATTCATTTCGTACTTTCAGTGGTTACATTAATCTTCGTTTACAGCACAATGTACATAAGCATGAAGTTTTGATTTGCACATTTCACTAGCGTAGGAAATTTACTAAATAGTAAGGGTCAAATTTTGTCCAAATCTGGTCTGTTTTTCTTTAGTAAAACTGACTCGAAATGAATCTTTCTGCTCCTTAGATCAAATCAAGAAACACAAATAATAATACCTAATGCATGAAATAATTGTTAGTCGAATGGAGACCAGGAGATTTCATGAGTTTGAATGTTTGCTTTCAATAAATTCTCGTCGGGGCAGTACATCCATCTTGGAAAGTGGACAAGTCAAACATGTCAGGGATTAGAGAAAATAATAATGGTTCATTTAAAAAAACAGGTTTTGGGAATATGAAGAGGATAACCTGTGCCAATTTAAGGCGGAAGGGCACGGAGAGTTGAGTGTAGTCAATCAACCTTTGAAGACAGTTGGTGTGGAGCCTGACCGACGTTCCTAACCTGATTTCGGCCGTTTCTGTTGTTGCTAACAGACGTTAGCCCAGTAGCTTAGGGCATCTCAAAGGCTTCGTTGGGATCCGCATGCTTCACGAAATCAGCAAAATGTGCCAGAATGGCGCTGTTTATGCCCCTAGTTTCGCCCCTTCCCAGGCACGCCGGGAGGTGTTCTCGCATACTTTTTGATTGGCAGCGACTCGTGCGACCAACATAGCCTGCTCCATAATTTATCAGCAAGTTAGTATCTAGTTGCTATTTACATTTTCGACAGTTTCTGAAACATCGCAGCAGTAGGAAGTTAATTTTAGGCTTCAACGAGTTTTTTTTGCGAAATTGCGTCCCGTTGGACAGACGAGAGGGAAATATGACTAATTAATAATTGTGATCCTTGATTAAATGCCGTCTACTAGTTTTCCTTCAGTAGCCTGTCACACACAAATTACGAGAACGTTCGAGATGACGTGGAGCCCGGGAAATCTACATATCTTTGAATTCACAAGTGCCAAGTTCGGACGATGTAGACAGGATATAATTAACCATTTTAATGAGGGATGTGCAGGACATTTATATGTTAAGGACTCTGCACAAGACAGCAGCATTAAAAAGAAGTTTTATTGCGACGAAATGATAAGCGTTGATTTTGGTTTCCTACCAAGGAAACAAAACTTCCGACAGCATGCTCAACTTTTTCGACTAAGTGGACTACACGGTTGCACCCACTGTCTGGTTTTAATACATAGGCAAGTAGGATGGCGAAGATGGCATTTTCTAAAGTGGTCCCGTCTTATTCAGTTCCTTGGATGCAAAGTACACCAATAAGTTCCCAAAAAAAATTTCGGCAACTGCATTAGACAGCGCAAGGGAGGTGTAAGTGATAAACCCATTAGTTGAGCACAGTTAGTAAGCTATCCGGGAAACGAAGAGAGAAGTATCCCAACAGTTACAAACTAGTAAATCAGACCAAAGTCGTCAGCAGGTAAAAATGCACGTGCTTGTTCTTTGTATCAGTCAAAGTTGTGCCAGGTTATTTAACAAGCGTATTATAACTGATTAAAACAAAACGGACTTAAATGTCATTACAATACTCCCCCTCCTAGGAGAACAGAGTTCAAAAAAATTATTGTTAATAGAAGGAAAAGGTGGGAGTGTTATGCATATTGTACAAGTTGGTAACGGTCGGAAGAACGGACATGACGACCGCTGCGCGTAAGGGGAGGAGTCCGTGGGATAAGGAAAGACGCAGGGTTATTGGGCGTAAGTGGAGTCTGGGAAATAGCAAGTGACAATGTGCCGAGTGGAGGTTGTTCGGTTGGGGAAGTTGAAAGAGGCTCGCTATTAGCCGCCTTCAAACGGGCGACTGAGACCACGCCGGTGCGACCTCCACGGTCAGTTGTAAAATGCTTGTCTGTTCGAGATAGTACTCGAAATGGGTCGTCATAGGGCTGTTGTGGTGGCCGACAAATGCTATCTACACGGACAAATACAAATGGACATGTTAGTAGGTTCAGGTCGATGTACGACTTACTTGTTGGAGGACGTGGAGGAGTGGCTCAAAGATGAGTCATGGCATGGCGCAGTCTTTGCACATAATCGCTGGGATCCAAGTCGGCTGAGCTTTGAAAGTACCCAAAAAAATCACCTGGAATCCGTAGGGTAGTACCGTAGACAAGTTCGGCAGCGGAACACTCCAAGTCGGGCTTGAGTGCAGTGCGGATAACGAGCATGAACAGTGGCAGATGCTCGCTCCAATGGGAAGGGTTGTCATGAGCTCGGAGCGAGGCTTTGAGTTGTCGACCTAAACGCTCGACTAAGCCGTTGGATGAGGGATGGTATGCTGTCGTGCGTATACGAGAACATCCGAGGAGGTCGGTAAGGCTGTTAAAAAGTCCAGACTCGAATTGTTGGCCTCGATCGGTGGTACTAGTTGAGGGGTCGCCATTATGAGAGATCCAGTGTTCCAAAATGGCATGAGCAACGGAATCTGCAGTTATGTTAGGTATGGGAGTTGCAATGGGCTAACGAGTAAATCGGTTAATCTCAGTAAATAACTAGTTGCAATCACGAGATGTTGGAAAAAGGCCTACCAGATCGATATGGACATGTGCAAAACGTGCGTCGGGTGCGATAAAAGTGCCAATGGGGGCTTTGTTGTGCCGTCCGACTGTGGCCTTCTGACAGGCCAAACATGAACGGGTCCACTGGCGGATATCAGTGTTCATGCTTGGCCAAACGAACCGCTCGCTGACGAGGCGCTTGGGTAGTACGAATGCCAGGGTGAGCCAGATTGTGCAACGCGGCAAAAACATCTCGTCTCATCTCGCTTGGCACTACGGGTCGGGAGGCACCGCGCGATACGTCACACAAAATTGTACCGGGGATGGTGGAAAGAGGAATGGCTTCGACCTGAAGACTAGTGTATGGAAGGCTGTCAATGAAATTCGGCTGGTTTTGCAGTTCTGTCATGCGCTCCAAATCGATGGAAGGGCGGGTGATGGCATTACTGCCAGGCCGAGAAAGTCAGTCAGCAACTTGATTATAAAGGCCTTTAAGAAATCGGATGTCGGTGGTATATTGAGAAATAAAATCGAGATGGCGGGCCTCGCGGGGTGAATACTTCGTATCCTCTCGTGTAATCTGACGGAGGGCGAAACGGCCCTATACAGTGCGCAGCCACAACGCGATGTCACCTAGCCACACGGATGGCAGGTCAGAGGTGTGAATGCCGGCTATCGGTTGGCTGGTAGGATCGTTTGACATAATTAGCCGATGTCGGTCAGAGGTCAGATAATTGGGGTAGAGGACTGGCGCGTCGACGGTGAGATTGAAGGTTGTCGCGCGTATTGGATGAAAAGGTGAGACAGCGTGACTAGCAAATAAGGGCTGGAGAAATAATCTGATCAATAAAAAGTAGAGTGAGGATTAATCCGAATGGAAATAGTTATGCACATAAATGAAACAGAAGGATCTATGAACGATATAGGGTCACCAATGTAAGTGATAAACCCATTAGTTGGGCACAGTAAGCAAGCTATCCGGGAAACGAAGATAGAAGTATCCTAACAGTTTCAAACGAGTAAATAAGACCAAAGTCGTCAGCAGGTAAAATGCACGTGCTAGTTCTTCGTCTCATTCAACGTTGTGCCAAGTTATTTAACAAGCGTATTTTAACCGATTAAAACAAAACGGACTTAAATGTCACTACAGGAGTTTACTCCTATAAACATTGCAAACAATTGATAGAGGTAGGGTATGCAAATGCGAACAAGCTATTAAACCTTAACAATTCAGTGGGCAGTAAATGTGCTCGTTCATATGGAAGAAGACATGTATAGGCGATCTTACTGGCATCCCGTCCTGTGGAAATTACGCGCAACACTCGACAAATGTCGAATATCAGAAGTTGCTTGCACTTGGTGTGAGGCCAGCCCTCATGCGACATTACTTGAATAATCAGTTGTGTCCGAGGAGGTTAAATGACTCATCGTAGCATGATCATTGAGTAAGGAATGTTGCATTAAGTTGGTTTAATTTGACCCTCTTCGTGGATAAGTCTTATTGCCAGTGCAAAATATATTCTGACGGTGCAACCGGACTTCCAGAATATACCATAGACCCATTTATATGACAAACGAAATTGTTATACATGGGTGAGGACAGTATAAATTGGTTGATTCTGTGTTTGCTAGTGCACCGTCACCCAGGACAGGATACGAAACGGCAAAAATCGACCGCTGTAATTTGCAATTATACAAAAGAATTTTGACGCGGCACGGCTCGGCTGACCACGCGGATACGGCACTCGTGTTATAACAGCTTCGTCAAGTATGCTATCTGAACCTTGTTAATCCTCCTCTGTCATTCATAAGCTCAACCGCAAAATAGTAAATTCGCACCGGGAGACTGTGTGTAGGTGCATGCCATAAGGCAATCGCATGATTAGTTGGTGTCGACGACTCAGCTCAAACTTGCTTGTATCAGACAGCACGGAGACCTTTATCGCTGTAAAGTCCCACAATGCAGCTCAGGCCAGGTCAAACTAGAATGTGACAGCCCTTCTGTTCCTATTAGCCGATCTGCCGTTGTCAGTGGACGCCGTGTAATTTCAGGTAAAATTACGCAGGTATATTCGCTTCTAAACGTGAGCAGGCGAGTATATGAACACATTCTTTCATGTATCATACATCTCCACTCGTACAGAATGTGCAGTGTTTACATCGGTAATCTGAACATGATGGCTCATACCGCATTTCGGTCCACCTATATCTTCTCATTAAAAGACAACCGGTACTGTTGTCTGCGAGTTAACATTCTTAAGTCATTATCCAAGGTGTTTATTTAGGAGTATTTCGTGACTGTTTTTCCTTATATTTGCTTAACTAACTTAGTGAAAGCAATATGGTCGTACAAAGCACATTTCAATTTTTCTTTAGTAATAAATCTAACATGTATTTTTGTTTGTTACAAGACAAACGATTATACTGGTGGCAACCGCAGATGCATAATGCAGCGGGAAACTTTATCCTAAAAAAACTTCGTTTTCTTAGAAAGTACTTATGCATTTTAGGCAAGTCATCAAAATCAAACCATAAATAAACCGTATAATTTCGTTAAAGACGTAGGATTCGGCCACCAATCCAACCTATTATTAGCAATGAATGCACTGAGCTTAAAGCAAGTAAATGACAGCGATATATCCATCACTTCTCAGATACTCGCTCATTGAAAGTACACTAGGGCAGGGGCATTCCTGTGAACTGCACGCTATCAAGGTACTACTCAAACGGAAAACCAAGTAATATTTTCGAAAAAACATAGCTTATTCACGCATGAAGCATTGCCAGCCTCTTATTTCACCCCCGAAACGAGATCTGTATTTGCAAGAGTGTGCGTATATGTAAGACACGAGCAGTCTTCTACGTGAGCGATGAGAACCCGAGAAATTTCTGTGTAAAGGAAAGCTCTCAAAAAATATATTTAATATTCCCAATGTCATGTTTTAGGTAGAATATTTTAGTGGTCAGTTGGATAGACACACAGGGAGCCGCAAAGCCGCTCGATCGCCAGAAAATATCTGGCAGTAACTTTAGGGAATGCAGTTGATAATCTTTTACAAAAATGGCATGTTATCATCATCGGCGACGTCTGTCTATCCCGACTCAGTAGGTCTGTTCTCACAGCAAAGGTCGGTTTGATTGCATTGCTTGCTTGTCTCACTTCGCTACTGGTGACATTGAACTCATGCATAACTAAATCGCCGGCGAGGGTGCCTTGTGAACGGGCATTTGTCCAGTCAAGCTAACTGCCGACACACACACACACACAAACACGTGAAGAAGGAGAAACGATCGTTGGGACAAGAGCTTTATTAGCCTGACGTTTCGGATTCCTGCTCGAATCCACCATCAGAGACAAAAGCAAATACGGATGGCTCATGCATAAAGGACTGCGGTATTGATAGGATGCATTCGCCATGCTACGCTGCAGCGGTGCGAAGAAATTGCACTATCGCTCAAGTTGCGGCTCATTCGACGAGATGCGGCAACACATTCAAATTTTACGAGGCCGAAATACCCGCAAGAGGTGACAACCGCGTGAGCCGGGAGCTGCTTGAGCCATGGTTTACTGGCCCCCAGTCCATTAACAAGTGCAATGACCTTCCGTTTACATACTCGGTGCTGAGACTTTGCCTAGGTGGAGTAATAAGCCATGTGGGCAGCGCAGAGGTGAACACTTTTCCCAATACCAGGGTCGATGGGTCAGATGGTCGAGCAATTATCACATCAACAGCTAACGCACGTGATTAAATTGCAGCAATTAACTACGCGAATGTCGGCCATCGCACCACGTGCAACGATCCCGGATGAAGGGGGGAGCCGTGAATATTCATAGGTAAGCGGTAGCATGATGACTGCATTCTATAAATGCTGCATTTCCTTATGCATGAACCACCCGTATCTGCTTTTGTCTCTGATAATGGGCTCGAGCAGGAATCTGAACCATCAGGCTAATAAAGCTCTTGTCTCAGCCATCATGTATCCTTCTTCAAGTTTGACGACTAGTCTTCATCTTTAGTTTTTAATGTTAATCTGTTAGCTGAAAGGACCGTTCATTTTGCATAATTTCACATTCTCTAGTGATGGCCATCAGTTGTCCGTAACTTTTAAATATTCACCTTTTATTCCGCTATTGAAGGCGGGGATTAAATTTTCAGCGTAGTATTCCACTGCACGCTTTTTATTAACTTTGAGGTTTCCGTGAGGACGGTTGAGTGGACAAAATTCTGTCGATAGCGCTTTTCTGCTTAGCACAAAACAGACCTTAAAAACGCCCCACAACCAACGAACGCAATGCAATCAATAAGATGAAACACACTTTGCAGTGGCAATGAATACGAATACTTATTTTTGACTGTAAAGACAACTTTTTCAACATTGGAAGCCGTAGCTTGAAGAAATAGTCCTATTTCCACAATTGCAAGTATACGATAAGGACCTCAATAATGGCTGGATTGCTTGACTCGATCTTTTACTTTGCTGGAGGAATCGGACACCTGGGCTTTAAGTCGATTTCGAAAGTTTATGCAAACATCAGTCGACCACCGCTGCTGCCCCCAACAATTTTGCGTCCGAGACGTTCAGATTACCTGGTCATGGCCAGTTTACCAATCAACAACCGACATTGCCAACCAATAGCCATCGTCGGTGATGCGTGCGCGTCTTATTACATTTAGCCGCTCTCCGCCTGTGCAAGCTGACGCCGTGAATCGAGCCTTTGCCTGATGATGTTTTCAGACGTAATTCGGCATTTGAAAGAAGGTTAGTTCAAGGACACTCCTTGTCGCCCATTTTAAAAACGTTCTGGGAGCTTATTTTGCACATTTAATTTGCCGTGATGCCCTTTCTGATATCCGGTGTGCCTGCTTTGACTACAGGCGCAATCTCCGGTCCTTTCTCGACCATTGACATATAATGGCCGACTAAAGGCTCTATCCCTGTCGAGTAAATCGGAGACACTTTATTCACCGGAAAAGCCGAACAGACTCTCGTCTTCTGTAATCTACAGAGCTTCGCACTTTGTGTAGCGGCATTAAGAGTCGTTTCAGAAATAAGGATATGATGAAGACTCACGTCAGCCGGTCTGGTATGCTTCCTGGCAAGATCTCATTTCGTTGTCGTATCTGTTAGGGGTTGGGGTTATGGGTTATTGTTAGGGGTTAAAGGCTAGTGGTTAGTGTTAGGGGTTGTCTTTACGGTTAGGGTTAAATCATCTATTGCCGCCGGTCCTGTACGACTGTCGGCTGATGTTTGTCTATTGCAGGTGAGGCTACGAAATAAGATCCGGCTTATTGCGCTCTCGGGTAGATCGCAGTTGGTAGCCAGGCCCCGTATTTGTTTATTGAGGCTTTTTTATGGGGCTCCATAATCACATCTGACCGATTTGGCTTCCGTTTTACGTTCGAGGTTAGGGTTAGGGTACCGGTTAATGGTTTCCGATTTTCGGGTTAGAGTTATGCCTTTAGACTTAGGTTTTCGGGTTACGGTTAGGGTTTGAACGTACGATTAGGTTTCAGTATTACGGTTAGGTTATTGAGTTACGGCTATGTCTAAGGACTACGGTTACGTTTACGATTTCGGTTAGGGTTAGGGTTGCCGTTAGGATTAACGGTCAACGTTTAAGTTTGAGGTTAGGGTTAAGGTCGCCGTCCGCTTCCCCATTCTTGGCTACCAACTGCGATCTGACCGCGCTCTCATTAAAGTGACTGACAGTTTGGCAGTGTTTAGGCGATAAAGGCACGGGGGACTCACACCTCCGTTCATTCTGAAGTACTATCGAGCTTTAATTAACTAAACGTGCGGGGATGAATACTCTCCGCGCATTGCATGGTTAGCCACATGTGATCATTTTTCAGGGTTTGAGAGTGATCGGCGTCAGGATGCACTATGCCTGAGGTTGCTAATTTCACTACTGCAAAAGGAAATGGCTTTCATCTTGCAGAGCGTTTCCGTGGACTTTTTGGCGAAGACATTTCGCTTATCACATCGATCATGTCCCCCATCAAAGCTTAATTCAGCTTTTTCGCATTGCTTTACGGTCTATAACAATGCAGGTTCTCTGATAACGATAATTTTCGCAGTCACTCACTGTTTCCTGGCACTCCCAAGCAACTGATGACCCAATTTGGAGATTGAATTTTGACCCAGTTAACCCGAGTAATTTTATTGTAATGACGCTGAGGAATGGTCGACCGCTGACCTGACATTATCCTCTTCCGGAAGTCCGTTGGAGTATGCGCGAAAGACTATTTTGGGAGTCCTCTTTCAGGCAGCCATTGCATAAACCCGTGACAGCTTTGAAACTGTTGAATGTGGGCGTCAGACGCAGAGCGAATCTGCAGGGAACATCGAATGGATGGATTTCAAATGATGGTGGAGCGGGTTTTTTAATTAGTTGCAAGGACATTTTAGGTGTTTAGACACTATCACCTTATTGCCGATAGAGCCGAAAATGCGAACTTCGAAAAGCAGATCAGAAGAAAAAGATGCGGTCGCTGGAAGAAGACGAAGATCATTGGTCGGACATTTCAAATTCTCACTCGATCCCTTCATCAGACAGTTGCATATCAGTGTGATAGAGACAAAAGGAGAGAGGTATTTCTCGGACGCAGCTGTCATGACACCGCGTACGTACTGCAATTGACAGCCCTAACGTTCGTGGCTGCGATTTATAAGGGATAACATTATGGCATGTCAGTCCACACCTGAGTCGATACTTGCCGTTATTTCATAACCGTAGTTGATTCTTGGAGTGATCATAACTCGGCAATTCGGCTTGATTTCGTTGGAACTGTTAGTCGTCCCCGGCCTCCTCGCAGGGACGATTTTGCCCAGGCAAAGTCAACAGGAAATCCGGAAGCGCGGATCGTATGCTCACACCCGTTTATGTCAATAGTCGCCTTGTGGCAGCCTACGGGAATCCAAATAAAGCGCAACGGCAGAACGGGACAAGTAGATCCTGTAACGCGATTGGTGGGTGATCGGAACCGACGGGACAACGAGCCATGACTCAGTAATTAGAGCGCTGAACCAACGGAAAGCGGGTTCGAACCTCAGGGGTTGGGAATGGCTGGTTGATGGCAGCTTATAGACCAGAAATGGCCATTTCAGTCTTCCTTGCTTTCGTCGGCAATCTGATCGCGATGGTTAATTGACTGTGACTGTCAAAACTATCACTCAAGCTGATCGCAGCTCACTCCATTTTCACATCGTGCAAGAATTTCGGCTTTATAAAACTTGGAGGTCTGACTGGGTCCCGTCGAATGAGCCGCCACCCGAGGGCTGGCGTTATTCATCCGCACCGCCGTCTCGTGCTGGGCCACCCACATCTGGGGTAAACTTTCGGCTCCTCCGACGCAGTCGGTTTGTCCGTAATTGCACCAGGTACGGCAAACGACCGTAAACGTTTTCTGTCCTGGCATTCGATTTTTCGGTCTCATTACCTCGCACCTGCTGGTGGCCTCCCGTTACTTTACTCCCAAAGGCGGTAGTAGTGTAATTAAAGTGAGATCTCGCTTGGGAACCCAAAAAGGAAATAAATTAACATGTTTTCTGTCTTCACATGCAGTTCAGACGTCTCTTTAAGGTGAATATAAAAGCACTTTAGTATCTAGAAATTCTCTCCCCGTTGACCAGCCTTCCCTTTTAGGTGATCCCGAACCCTCTGTGGACCCGGAAAAGTTCACACTGTATGACATGCATTTCTGTCCCTTTTGTCAACGCGTACGTTACACACTGGACTACCATGAAATACCGTAAGAAAACCTGTTTCTACCGTTATCCCATCTCTCTCCAACCTACTCACGCTTACCGTATTTAATCAGGACGTATCATTCAGACGACACATGCTTCACAATCTCTCATTTAAAAGACGACTACAGCTACGACTTTAGCAAGCTTTATACTAGCTGATCTGCGTGAGTAGTCAAAATCACGATTTGGAAATCAGCGCACATTGCAGACTTCTGCTCTCTACAGGTCTTGTGCGTTGTAGTCCCTGCAAAATAAAGGTTCCGAGGGCGGCAACAATTTTAAGCTGTTTGTAGCAGGAAGGTGGCAGTATTATTCAAACCGGCGGTTTGTAAACAAAGGGGACTCTATCCTGTCCTGATTGTGACCTACTTTGGCGCATCAAAATGGGTTCTCGTTGATAGTCGGCAACAGTGTGAACTGAGGTGGTAAACAGCAGATGGGCAAGAAAGTGCGGATAATTCATTTGCAATGCCATCCCGTAACGGAAAGCCTTTCAACCAACGCCCATTCGCGGAATCCGTAGACTCCTGTTTGTGCATTTGCGAACGATACTCGGAATGACTTTCTATCATCGGAATTAGATAAAAGTTGGTAAAAAGCCCCTCGACTCTTTAGATGTATAAGGAGATGTCGCGCGGATAACACGTGGCCGCTTTTGAGTGATTGCAGTCCACTTGCGTCCAATTCTCTCACGAGAAGGCTGGCGTATTCAGAACGGGATCTACCTCGGTATCAGCCTAAACAGTGCCAATGATTACACTCACCTCCTCTGTCGTCTCGCAAGTAACTTACGGCTCTCTGCATTCCAGAATTTTCAGCAACGCATGGCTTTATACATGATGACAAACTTTAAAAAGATAACTGTACTTGACCGCATGACAACGGACTAATTGCCACCATGACGTTTGCTTTCGTTGGAGTCAAATGCAAATCCCCCTTCATTACCTTAACACAATTGTACGAGGTTCCTTACAACCTGTCGTCAGTCTGTATTCGCCTGCCCAGAAAAGCCCGGCATCAAGCCATAACTCGCTTACAGTCTCTGACCAACCATGCCGATGAGGTCGTACCCAGCGAAGGCAATTTGGAGCGGTTCTTTCCACACGCTAAGCGCACGAATTTGACCCCGTTTTTGTATTACCGGCTTCCCCTGAAAGCGAGTTTTTCTCTAATCGCAGTCGTCTTCGTGAGGACTTTAAGCGGAGGAAGACTGTTCTACTCATAGAAAAACATCCACGAAAGTCCGTGGCATTGATATATAGAACCTGTATAACCTGAAATCACATGCGAAGCGTTTTGTTTTAATGTGCTAAATGCGCCTAACAACTGAATCGCCAAATTTGAGTGACTTTGCTACTTAAACCGCCACTTCGTGACCAAATTGACCCGTCTGATTTGGCGAGCGAAAATTACCCAAGAGTATTGCTCATATTCCCTGTAGGATAGGTTCTTGTTTATTCTACAATGTCCCCGTCGACATACTCATCCGTCAAAGTTGGGCCCAATATGTTGCATCAAAGCGACAGGAGTGTATTCGGCGCTCTACAATCCCTAGGGCTAAATTCCGAGTTGCAAGAAAAGAGGCAAGCTACCTTCCTCTCGGGTGACAGTGGCCACTGGTGAAGCCAGGGCTGGTGTTTACTGCGTCCAATCATGTCCGAGAGACCTTGTAGCAGTGGTGGCAGCTGCCATTGCATTGTAGCGGCCGAGGACGTCAAGGGTGGCACACACCAAAGTATGAGATCACTGCGAGGAGATCCTGACGGAGGTAGATATGAACAGAACCGTTAACATCTCTTGGTACGCATCCAAGAGAAGAAGGCAGGTCGGGTAAGGGATATAGTGTAATATAACGAGGTGGGCAGGGGAAATGCGTATACTAATTGTTAATAGTAAAGGAAGGATGAGTTACAGCTGTAGAATAACCTGTCTGGGTGAAGAGGCGATACCGAAATGCCAGCTAAGTATCCGGTGGGGAACGCAGCGCTGTGGCCAACTGCAGGGGAGGGTCGAAGGAGGTGCCGACGTAGAGAGGAGGACAACGATACGAAAGTCACGGTACGATGCGGGGAAGGGGTCGGCGGAAGTGAGAGGGAGGGAGGGAGGGTCACCGGTCATCTTCACCAGCATGCGGTTACGCCATCTCCACCCTAGGTCCGCGCGCCGAAAAGTTTCACGCCACCCAAACAACCCTGTTCAGATCAAGGGAAGTTAAAGTATGTTGGTGGGGCAGTCTAAAGTGCTGCCGAATTGGTGTGTTGACTTTTCGAGGGGCGGTGTTCACGTGACTTGTGTTGCGTCCGCTTGGGGGATGGTGTGTGCTCAGGTGACGCATGCAGCCATGTGGATGCATGCGTCCGAGTTGAAGTCGGTCTAGTGGCTGCAGATCAGCGCTTCTGGAACCGCTGGCTGCGAAGTGGTATGACCTTGACGCAACGGAGCCCTGAATATGACCATGACGGCTGTCAGCAACAAATACACGAAATGTTCCCGAATGCCAAAAAATACCGTCCAGTTATCCGCCCTCTTTCAGACTGTACTTTCACTGTTTAGCCCTGACCTCTGTGCGAGTGCTTGTTACTTCCATTCCTTGGCGTCGTATGCCCACGCTGCTTGTTTTACTTAACAGATATTTATTGTTTAGTCGTTACCACTGGTATTTTCACCTCTCAGGTACAACCGCATATTAATCAACCCCACTTCAGAACCCAGTTGGTACCTATGGCTGAATCTATCGGGGAAGGTCCCGCTACTGCTCTATCGGGGTGAGAAACTGACTGAGTCAGATGTTATCATGAAGTATGTCGATCAATTCAACGGCGCCGATGCCTCTCTATTGAACGTTTGCGGCGACGAAGCGTTTAAGGAGGCCTTGGATTTGTCGTCCTCCGTAAGTCTACTGAATACCGTAATGTTCACTAATGGCATCTCTGGCGGTGCTAGATAAGAAGGTTGTGTGATAGAATCGGCCCAAACCGGACATCATCATCATCATCATCATCATCATCATCATCATCATCATCATCATCATCATCATCAGCGGCAGCAGCAACATCAGCGGTGGCATCATCACCATTGGCAGCAACACCGCCACGGACGCCACTTTCAATCATCCACCAACCAATAATCCACCGTCCTCTTTCTACTCCACAACTCCAATTTTTGATATATACGTGATCTGTACAAGCCAAGGGAGACGAAATATTCAGAGTATAGTGACATTATAAGATTGCATGACGCATAATTCAACTGCGCATGATCATTGAATATTAATAGGGCAATAACAAAACGGCCAAGGGGGATCAAATACGATACGTAAATAAAAACAGGGAATATTGGTCTGACATGTGGGGAGGGGCATGGTGTGAGGGAGGAGAAAGTTGTACAGATGAGTGCGTTCGACGGATAGAACCATTTAGGGGCTAGATAACAGTTGGTAGCCAGGAATGGGGAAGCGGACGGCGACCTTAACCCTAATCCTAAACTTAACCCTGACCCTAACCTCAACCTTAAACGTTAACCGTTAACCCTAACGACAATCCTAACCCTAATCGAAATCGTAAACGTAACCGTAACCCTTAGACAGAGCCGTAACTGAAAAACCTAACCGTAACCCGAAAACCTAAAGGCATAACCCTAACCCGAAAATCCGAAAACCATTAACCGGTACCCTAATCCTAACCTCAACCGTAAAACGGAAGCCAAATGGGTCAGCTGTGATTATGGAGTCCCACAAAATAGCCTCAGTAAACAAACCTCCCGCCACCCGTAATACGGGTCCCGACTACCAACTGTAATCCAGCCCATTTAGGTACAATATTACTGTTGAAATACTAAAGATACCTTCTCATTCGAAGGTGAATTGAACGATCATGACATACTGAATATGCACTTTACATCACCTCACGTGCCGCCGAATGGAACGTAACAGCGAGTTTGTGATCAGGACAAGTGAGGTAATTAATGCAGTTACGCACTAAAAATATGAATTTCTTGTGCAATGGACAGTTGTACAGACAGATCGACGGCGTGGCTAGAGGTAGTCGACTGGTGCTAGTCTAGTGGACATTTTCATGCCAAGCCGGCACTAGGTGAGCAGCTGGATCACGTGATCCACACTGTGGGCCAAGGCGGATCACGTGATCCAGCCGCCCACCTCGAACTGCCATGGCAGGAGCCGATGGCGGAACTGACCTCACGCCATCACCCGTCCCTCGATTTCCCCCGCACACGTGACTGACTAATGTTCCATGCCGTGCAGTTGTAATTAACGGGCTTTCGTAGGCAATTTTGATCGCCCTGGACCGTTTCTTATTTAACAGTTCATCTTATTATTATAACGCAGTGACTAGACGCAGTTGAATAAGAAGTCGCAAAATTTATGACGCCATTAGATTCTGAATATTCTGCTGTCATGTATTTGTTCAGATTTATTTCAGGCAACAATTGTTTCAACTTAGACTACCCCCTGGTCTAATGACCAAAACACACCGACCTGGTCGTGAAGGTGGCGTGTGAACGAGTTTCAATAGCTCCTGATGAACAGGCTGATGATGAATTACGGAAAACATGCGCATGCCAATTTGAATTTTCACCTGTAACATCGGAATATTCGTAGAATCTACATTATCATCATCATCATCATCGTCGTCGTCGTCGTCATCATCATCATCATCATCATCATCATCGCCGCCGCCACCACCACCACCATCATCATCATCGACGTTGTCGTCGTCCTCATTGCCGTATTTATTATCGTCATAATCGTCGTATTTTTCCTTACCAACGCCAGCAGCATTAGTAATATTAATAATGGTAAATATAATGACAGTGATCACTATCGCATCGCAAGTAACACCATTATGGTCAATAGCGCCACCGAACGACCATTAACATCTTAATCACCCTCCAAGTTAAGGACGTCCATGCATACAGATATTAAATTAAAAAGACTAAGAAATCGGCCACGATATGCGGTACTTTATGTTGTGTCCTGTTACTTTTTGTAAGCTGCCGGCTTCCCCATCCAGTAGAGTAGGGGACTTTTTTAGGTACAGCAAGAGTGTGATGCATATGACGGAGATCACGTTCACAACCTCGTTCTTACAGTCTCTGCATAGCCATTATCATCATTATCGACGTCACTGTCAAGCCTGTAATCATCGCAACAATAACAACAGTGCCATCATCACGAGTGATAATCGCACTGGTTTTAAAGCAAGGACAGCAGAATTTACTTGTACCAGAAAATTTCGCGACGGCTTCTCAACTGCAGCCTGTCGTTGCATAAGAGAAATAACAAGTGAGAAAGGTACAGAGGTTTGAATTTCGACAGAGAAAATCAATGTAAAACAGTAAGGGCAACGTAAACTGCGCGTAGACTAATCGATAAAGTGGTAACTTCAAAATGCAACATAGGAATGAAAATGTGGAAGTAAACATGCCGAGGGATTTCGAAAATCAAAAGGGCTCAGGTCTATCAGGGCAAGCTGAGGTTGACCACGTGGTCTAACTGTTTACATAGGTCGGGTTTATCCCGCCGTATACAGGCTGCCTCCAGGTAGCGCAATAACCGAGCAGTTCTTGCGCGAACTAATACTCGAAAAGACGTTTTATGGTCAACCGAATGGCCACTATCAAGGAGATGGTTCGTAATAGAAGACCGTGGAGTCTTATTCTCCTGCTTTAGAAGCCATTGAGGCAGGTGCTCAACTGACCTGGCTGCCAGCTGCCTTTGCGTTCGCCCAATGTACTTGCATCCACAAGTGCATGTAAATCCGTAAATACAATTTGACGTGGCGTGCAATGACAAGGCATACTTCGTCCGTGGAACTTGAATAGTCTTAGTAGGGCTGCAGAATATGAGTTCAGCTGAGTTGTAAGTTCTTTCAATGGCGCATCTCAATCGCCGCTTGATGGCATTTGAGATGTTGTTGCGAACTTTTCTGGTACCATTAAATTCTGCTGTCCTTGCTTGCTTTAAATTCATTCCAGGAAATATTGCTTCAAATCGCACAGGTATTTATAGAGCATTGCTATACCTATCACCACGATACCACCAGCGTAACGGGTAGCAGCACCATTGGCATTACTATGGCCATCTTCCCAGCCAAAACGGCCAACGCATACAGATCAAATATCTGCACTTCCAAAGTACCCGTAGGAACCTAGCGTACGAAGGTAAAAAGGCCATCATAACCCTTAGGTTGTGCCGCCTATGCTGACCTGTTTGACGGTGTTTCCGATATTTTGCTGGTTTTGTTCACAGGCCAGCAACCTAGGAGTCACAACTTCGGTCGCCGTTTCATGGCATTCCATTTTCACGTCAAAATGCTGTCGAGTTCATTAAACATCCAACAACTTGTTTCGCCTTACGCACGTTGCCTAGATCGCTCTTCCACGCCAGAAGCTGTGCTTCTCACCGGAGGCAACCCAAGCCGATGCTAAGGCCCTCAAAGACGCTCTGGCAAATCTGGACGAAGCCATTAAGGGTCCCTATCTCGTGGGTGCGTCAATTTTACACTGTTTTTTTAGAGAACCTGTCCAGCACTGTTTTGCTCCGAAAGAGCCAGTTCCGATACAAGCGAAGATGCGGGTTCCAGGAACTAGTTAATAAGAGGAGGAAGAGGAAGAAGAAGAAGAAGAAGAAGAAACGATCGCTGGACCAGGGGCTTTATTCGCTCGACGTTTCGGATTCTCACTTGAACCCGTTTCTGCCACTGTCTCTGGTGATGGGATCGCTTCTTCTTATCAGAGCCATTTCCCTTATCGTCGCACTGCGACAGCTTGATTTTGTCTCGAGGTCCCTCTAGGCTTATCTTCTATTCTGTTGTCACGAATGATCCATAAGGACATAGCTCCAACGAAAGAAAATGGCTTAAAATACAACGTAGATTACATACACACACTTTGGGTCTCACACAAAAGCAGAATAGGGCGTTTTGACTTGGTAGTCATTATCATAAAGTAGTCTTTTTTCCTCCTACTTTCAACTATCCTTATCTTCCCAGTATACCTTGCTTTCGTTCCCTGGCACATCGTCTGTATTGCTCATGAAGTTGGTCTCTTGTCAAAACGGAATTGTTTCCCCGCCTTGGTTTATAAGATGGGGAACTGACCTTGACTGATTCAACTCTCGTCTCCCCTCCCGGAGATGCGAGACTTCGTGATTGATCGATTGTTGGAGGTGGACGGCGTGTCAGGCGACAGTGCTGATATGGCAATCTCTCTGTGAGCCAAAGTTCTAAAGTACTGTTAGCTTATGAGTCAGAAGACCCTTCGTCATGAAGACCTCCCTTGAAGATGATGCTTTGGCTAAATTCGTAGACAATCGTGTCCTGAAAAACTCTTCGGCTAGATCTCAGTTGGTAGCCAGGATTGGTGAAGCGGACGGTGACCTTAACCCTAACCTTAAACGTTACTGTTAACGGTAACAGCAACCTTAACCCTAACTCTAACCCTAATCGAAATCGCAAACATAACCGTAGATCATGAGTCAGAAGACCCTGCGTCATGAAGACCTCCCTTGAAGATGATGCTTTGGCTAAATTCGTAGACACTCGTGTCCTGAATAAGTCTTCTTTTTATGCTGTGTTCTTTCAGCTGTTGTACTTATGGCTTCCGCCCTTTTCTGACAATTATTTTGCTCCAAATTCTGTCGCGAAATGATCGGTATTCGTTTTTTATTTCGGCAAATTAATGTTTTATGATTTACGCGACAGATTATTGTTTAACCGCTACTCTACAGTCCTGCTCTGCACCCCCACTTGCTGGTCGTTCTGATCGCAATTCTTGCTAACGACCTGGCCTTGCCTAAATGCCACACGGCGACGCCATGCTTCATTTAACTTCTCATATTAAATGCCTGCCAAATGTTTTTCTTAGGGCCGTCTCCTATTTGGCTGCCCGAGAATGAGCTTAAGTTGACAACTTCATCATCAAAGAATGCCTTCGGTCATATATTTAATTACAGACACGTTCTGTGCTCTCATTTAAATGCGAAATCGGGGTTTTGACTAAAAATCAGTAACCAGGGGAGTTTCGGTGTTTCTCCCATTGCCCACGATCCCTATCTTCTCCTAGCACATCCTGTATCTCCCTCTTGACGTTTGATTTCCGTTTTAACAAAAATTATATCAGTCAGACTTTCCTTCTTCTGCTTTTTACTTGCAAAGGTGAGAAGCTGAGTTTGGCAGACCTGGCTGTCTTACCCTTTCTGAATGCCTGGGACCTATTGATGAGCCGACTGATGAAGCTGGACGACGCCTCCGATGCCAACGTAGAGACGGTCTCAGCTCAGTGGCCTAAAATTCAAAAGTATCGTCAACTCATGAGTCGGAAATCCTACATCATGAAGACTGCCTTCCAAGATGATGACTTCGCCACGTTCGCGGAAACCTGCCTCTTGAATGAGTCATCTGAGAGCTCCTAGTCATATTGTATGCTATTATGACACAGAGGAACACTTCAGTTGTTCTCTGGTATTTGACTGTTCCCTTAGCTGATACGCTTGAGATATCAGCATTCCCTGAGGATTATTTAACTCCATACTCGGTCGTGTAGCGATCGTTATTCGTTTTGATTTGTTTGAATTACTGTTTTCGCAAGTGGCTTTTTGTTTTACCGATACTATCCTGCCCATCATTGTTTCATAATGTTGTCATTGTATGCGTTTTCTCCTAACAACATCGAAAAAGACCGTGTGCGACCACGAGATCCTGTTAGATTACCATTTTGTTGTGGCAGACTTCAACGACAAATCGGGATTTTCTAAATGCCTGCCAAAAACAGCAGTCTGCATGGCTTAGTTGGTTGCTTGAATCAAAGCAGCGATTAGCGTTCAACTTGTGCATCAACATTTTAAGTCACTGTGAAAGTCGCCTTTTACACTTGAGGCGACGCATGCCAGGATTGTAGTACAACATTTTTCAATCCCCATCGAAGTCTAAGCCTTATTGTCTGCGGAATGTGAAACAGCTGGTGCTGTTTGCAAACAAGTTGGGTTCCTCTTTAACCTGTCTCCTAGTGTGCCCGCTAAAGAGTTTCCCAACTAATAACGAGGCAGTCTTATAAGACGCATTTGTCGAAAAATACTTTTTACCGATGAAACATGCTAGAATTGGCTTCATATATGATCAAGAGCTCTCAACGGAACAGATGGATTTCTTCGACGATCGGATTTCATTTCTAAGTCAGCCTATGAATGCAGTCCAGGTTTTCACATTCCGCAACAAGCTTTGGCAACAAATGTCGCGGAAATTGCCCTCATTGAGTGACAGGTCTCGAGACCATACTTCATAAGTAATATTTTAAATGCTGTCTAGGGGTTATTTTTGTAACAGAACATACCTAAAAAGTTCCATTTTTTGGATGATTGGAAAACACCAAACACTACCCAGTTTCCATTAAAACTTCACTAACTATGTGTGAATCAGTGGCATTCATTGTCAAAGGAAAGAAAACAGATGCATTAAAGAATAGCGATAACTGTCTTTCCCAGAGACGGCAATACCTATGGTTGCGTTTGGATGCGACAACGAGATGCGCATGCCTGCTTATAAGGCTCCACAATCTTCCCACTTGCCAGTGAGTTCTATTGCAATGCCAGAATACACATATTTTAGACGGAGGTCGCTATCGAGACCATCACACCTATGTCGAACTCGTCTCTATGTCAGTTAGAAATACGAACCGTTGTATGGTCAGATCGACGGTGTAGCTATGGGCAGTCCATTAGGGCGAGTCCTAGCGAACATTTTCATGTCAAATCCCGAACGGAAATTAGCGGAAATCTTGCAGCAAACCACATTCTATAGGCGACATGCGGATGACATTTTCACCATAGTCGAAAACCCAAGAGGCGGAGAATTACCACTTAAGGCCATGAACAAAGCACATGCGAAGATCAAATTTACGATCGAGCATGAGGAAAACGACACACTGCCTTTCTTATACGTTCTTGTACGTAGGCGAGCAGATGGTTCTATTCAGAGATCCATCTATCGAAAAACCACCTGGAAAGGATAGTATATGTACTTCCTCAGTTTAGGCCTCTAGGGTCTGTCGCCTAGGTACAAACGTTCATCCTGGAAACGGGTATCCAGGGAAGTTTACTGATAAGTATCGCCATCACAGACGAGGAAATCCCGTGGAGATATCCGCGCCGAAGAAGACGGTGAGCATCTACCTCCCTTTCAAAGGTGTTTGTGTGTCAATTGTGATCAAGCGAAGACTTTGGTGCACGATTGAACGGACGTTCCTCGACTCAAGATTGTTGTTCATAAGCACTACAATGGCTATTCCAGTTAGACCAGCCAAAGACGTTCTGCCTATTCGCGCCAAATCAAATTGTATTTATAAGTTTACATGTGGTTGCGGATGCGAAAACATTACGCACACGCAAAGTTGGTTGGCAGTTCGGTCAGCCGAATACATTCCGAAGTGGCTGTTAAGGGCGGAAAATAAGCTACCCAGGAGTTCCGTTACGAAGCACCTAGTGGACACGGGCCACACGGTGGACTCGGTAAATGCATTTAAGGTCCTATTTCGGACTACGACGGGGCGTCTCCTGCGCTTTGCGTGGCCGCTGCAATACGGAGGGGAAAACCGGGACTCCGTAAGCAGCTGGATCACGTGATAAACCTCGCACTGCCATGGCAAGGATCGAGACTGACTTAACCCCATTCCCACACTAGTTCCCTCACCCCCCTCTCCCCCGTATGACTGACTTCCGTCCCGCGTGTGTAATTTTAATCACGCCTGACAGATGTTCACCATAATGTAAACTCGCTTGCTTAGACAACTTCCCTCCCCCTCACCCCCTGCCCATGCGCACCAGCATATCAGTCCAACTTTCTATGTTTTATTTACCTATCATGTTTTATCCCTCCAGGCCGTAGCTGATTGAACAGTTAACCTTATCTTGTAAATACGCAATGACCAGGCGCAGCTGCATAGGAGGTCACGAAATTTTATGACGTCAATAAATTCTACCTGTTTCGTCGCCTTTTCCCTGTTCAAACACTTATTTATAAACAACCTGTTAAACACATTCAGTGTAGTAATCACTTCGGATTCGGCCGGAATACCGAATTGCTCTGATTTTCGGCAGTGAGAGCGGCCGCCGCCATGAACCCATTTATGCAGGCTTCTAGACTGCAGTAACACGCCTTTTTAAACCTCGGTGGCCGCGTGAGCAGTTGACACCTTTCAGATACATCAGTACTGAAATGCGCGTGTCTGCGCGACCCAATTTCGCGGTGAGCTTGTGCATTGGCCTTCGTGACCTCGACAATAAACAGACAGAAAACCGCGAGCGAGGAGTAGTCGTCAGGCCAACAACGGTGATTTACGACTCCAGTACGGACCGACAAGTGGTCATCACATCAGGAAAGTGAGTACTGCTAATTATTGTAGACCTGTGGTTGCTGGGCAACGACTTCCTGCAAATGCTGCCCTGTTTGTGCCTCCATTACCATTTTCTGCGACCGTCTCTGATGACATGTTCGAGTGAGGGTCTAAAATGTCAGGCCAATACGAATCTTGTTCCAGCCGAAATTCTGAAATACGTTTTTGATTTGGAATGATTACTAAGGGGTGTTGTAAAATTGATTATCGTGCAGCATAATCTAGTAATATTTCCGACTCGGCTGGATGTCGGCTTTTGAATGCACTTCTTTCCGATCTCCTGCAGAAACCACACTCGGTAACAAATGACTACTTAATTAGCATGCATTTTTCGCATTGATTTTCGATAGTCGGCTAAATTAAAATATATTCTATAGAAAACATGCATAAAATAATGCTTTCTTCTACTTGCTTGGTGGTAAATCACGTCGGTTTTACATTTTATGTTTGCAGATAGGGTATATTTGGGTTTTGGAAAAGTTATTAATTGTATGATTTTTCAGGCCTTGCAATGTATACTCATACAGCATCGTACCTGTCTGTTTACCAATGCTGTTTATGAAATGCATACCATTGTCCGCACCCATTGTGAAATCTCATCAACTCTAGATGGTATCTTCTTAAAGGCATAGAGAAATAAATGATTTTACTTACGCGGGAAGCGTGCGCCTTGTAGACTGAAATCTCTGCACGATAATGCAACGACTGATAAAGCTCAAAATTATTTAGGGATTGGACAACTTTTCCAAAACCTAAATATACCCTGTCTCCAAAAATAAAATGTAATGCCGGTGTGATTTACCACCAAAAAGGTAGAAAGAGGCATTATTTTATGCATGCTTTCTATAAAATATATTTCAATGTAGATGACCATTGAAAATCAATGCGAAAATGCCTCCTACTTAAGTAGTCATTTATTACCGAGTGTGGTTTCTGCAGTAGATTGACAAGAAGTGCATTCAAAAGCAGACATCCTGCCGAATCCGAAATGTTACCAGAATATGCCGCACGATAATGAACATTACAACCCCACCTCAGTAATCCTTCCAAATGGAAAACGTATTTCAGAATTTCGGCCAACATTTCATGAGATTGGTCACTCACTATATCTTCGATTTTGCCAGTCGTCTCGAGAAGGCATACAGTGGTGCAGCCCAACGTGGCAGTTCTGAATCTAGAAAACAAACTGCATGTCAACCTCTTTACTCTTGCACTTTCTG